CGGCAACCATGGCCTGTGGCCGCTCGCGCCTCTCCACCGGTGCCGCTGCTCCCGCTCGCAAGCTCGGACACCCGTTGCAGCAGCTCTCCCTCATGCTCATGAGCCCGGCCTCCCGCATCGACGCCATGGCCGGCGGGAGCTTCGGCCAGGCCTCTCCTAGACGCCCGCAGACATGGCCCGCGGCCGCTCGCGCCTCGCCCCCGGCGCCCCTGCTCGCGCGCTCGGACGCCCGCAGCAGCAGCTCGCCCTCACGCTCGCGAGCCCGGCCGCGTGCTCCGTGCGCCACCCAGTTCGCCTGCTCTGCACCGGCCGCGAGCTCCATGCGCCGCATCCTCCGCCCGCCGCCCAGGCCGCGAGCTCCGCTCACCAGCGTGCTGCTGCTGCTTCTCGCCATCACCATCAACGCGCTCAACAAGGGAAGTTGAGGAGAGAAGGAAGAAAAAGATGACATGTGGGGCCCATGTGTCAGTGACAGGGGAGAGAGGCTGCGATGAAGTATATGTCTTCGTATACGTCTGTAACTGGGCCCAGGCCGTGTCCATACATATTATATGGCATATTTGTGGAAAACGACAAATTGTAATAACATGCTTCAAAATAGACGAATAGTAATGGTGTTTCTTTGAACATCGAAAATTATAATGGCACGAATCCAAATAACTGTTTGTTAAACCCTTTGGCCTTTGGCCTTGGCCACGGCCGCCGCCGTGTCCATCTGGGACTCCGCGTGTTTGCCTGTTTGGAATTTTTTTTAATTTTAACCCTTTTTTGAATATAATTTTAAATCTAACACTGTCGGTTTTTTTTAACTAACACTTTTGGCCGCGCCTATTGTCCAGGCGCGGCCAAATGCCTGTGCCGCGCCATGCATGGCGGCGCGGCAGAGGCCTGACGTGGCGGCGACCATCACCGCTGACCGTTGACATGGAATGGCTCTGCCGCGCCACTGATCTTGGCGTGGCAATGCCATGCCCTGATCCGTGGCGCGGTAGAGCCAGATATAACCACCACCGCCAGTCCCGCTGCCCGAGCAGCAAGGTCGCATAGGCATTAGTCTCGCGCCCGTCCGTTGCCACCACGGCCGCTCGTCGCCAACCACGCCGACCGCCGCGCCACGAACGGGTTGAGCTTGGGCGGCGAACATTATGGTGGATGAAACTACCGAGTTGATCTTGAAAAGGTAGAGTGCAGTTGCTACGTCCCTCAGATCATGCATGCCCCTTGCTCTCATATGATCACGGCCTGCAGGGTTCGCGGGTACAACTATGAGGATCTACCATATATGTCACCCTTGTATCTCCGTTCGAACACCGTTAGTATTTGGGAGATGAGCTTCAAGCCATACCTAGACCCAACACAGTGGCCACCTTATAATGGTTATGACTACGTGCCGCATCTGGATCTAATGAAGGTAAGGAAGGGTAGAAGGAAGAAGAAGCGACTGAAGGGGGACATGGACGCTATGAGAGGGTACGGGGAAGACATGTACGACGGGGGAGACTTCAACGAGACCCGTGGCAGGAATCTTTGCTCCGTTTGCAAACAATCTGGCCACAAGGCTAGCCGGCATAGAAGACAGCAGGTGATTTCATATTGTTTTCGTATTGCATAACATGTAGTTCAAATTTTGCAATGCTACTTAATGTTAATCTGAAAATTGTTAATTTGAATACTCTAACCCTTTGTTTATCATTTTGTAATAGGATGGTCCCTCCCACGCCGCACCAGCTGATCCCCCTTCTTGATGTGGATTACGACGACCCCCTTCTTCTACCGGACGACGAGGTTTCATTACGTCGTGGGACTTAGTTCATTACGTCGAACTTATGTCGAACGAATATTCTCGTCGAAAACTTGTAGACTCATAAACAATGAAAATGTTGTATTGCAACTTGTCCATTTATTTGCGTCATGTTCCTTTGGTACCGCACTTGTAATTTTATACAGCACCGACAACAACTCAATTGTTTTGAAGCCGTTGTCTGGCTGCGTCACTGTGTCACTGCCGCGCCATGGGATCTACGTCACTAACGCGCCATGTACTATGGCGCGGCACAGACGCGCCATGAACTATGGCGCGTCATTGACGCAAAACCATGCCTATGTAGCACCAGAACCTGGTCTATGGCGTGGCAAATAATTACGTTCGTTTTAGAAATTTTGAACGCATGATACAAAAAGATGTGATCACTTAAGATCGATCATGGGTAATCCGAGTACATGATACATGGGTACAATACATCTGTAGTTCAAAAGGAATATAAGATAACACAATAGAATTTATAGTACATAGCTACATTGATCATTAATAAAGCATGGAACTAACAGACGGCGCAATTAAAAACCCTCAGTCAGAAACATAATGAGTAAGCAACTCGTCGTCCGAGTACCAATCCTCAACCACAACCCTGATGTTGTTGCTAGGCTCAACTGCGTTGCTCTGACCTGCCTGTCGCCTATAGTAAGCGACCTTCGCTTCATCTGCAGCCGCTGCGGCCTGAGTGAAGAACGCGTCGTCATCCTCCTCAGCCTGTAAGCCCACCTCTGCTAGAGCGATGAGCTCGCTCAGTCTGCCAGTGTCGTCGTCATCATCCTTCGCCTGCATGCCCGCCTCTGCTAGAGCGATGAGCTCACTCAGTCTGCCAGTGTCATCCTCATCCTCGCCCCCCTCATCAGACAACACAATCGGTGATTGAACGGTGCGACCAACTCGCGATCCATGCTCATCTAACTTCTTTTCCTCATACCTTGTACGAGCCACCTCTGCGGCATGATCCTCGCTGTAACCAATCCCTTCATGTATAAAATGCAATCAGTTCACAACGCGATTATATTACATTTAAAATCAGGCAACGAAAAAAAGGCATTCAAGCACTCACTGGCACATAATGCAGCAACATGCTCATTTAAGACCTGCATCTGTACTCTTGTCTCCTCCTTTGCCTCCTTCCTTGCCCTCTCCTCCTCTAACGTCATACGCCTCTCCAATCCCCATTTGTTAAGGCCAACATCGATCAGGTTACAAATACCATGCTGTATAGCAAACTCACGCATCTTTTCTTTGTGATATTTAACGAATAAGTTGACGTAGTCAGGTCCATATCCCCTCTTCCGTGCAATTAGTTGCCTCTTCTTCAGTTCATCCAAGAACTGAGCTTGACCATCGTAACGTTCCCACCTGCATTTCCTAGTGCTCTGTTCGAAAGAAATATTATATCATATATGTCTTATCAAAAGAAACAAAATGTGATTTCATGTTTACCACAAAAATAACGAACCTCTTCGTACTCAACCATATGGCCGCAATAATGGCCTATTCCAAGCTCTAAAGGGACTGGTCATAGTTTGAATTAACACCACATTCGCACTTGACTGGTGGTGCTTTGTAAATTAATATTTTTTCTTTTTTTTGTTTTTCTTTTGGAGGTTCTTCGGGCCATTTGTTATTAGGACCATAGAACCACTCCTTGAAACGACACTTCGGCATTGAATGCACCTAAATAACGTGACATTAGTACATAAACATATATAGCTAAACATTTCAACACATACACTTTGTACTTACTTCATGCTTGTTTGGACACACAAACTCTAACGTATTGTCAGAGTTTATCACAGCTCGATCTCCGCAATCGCACCGAGGAGGTTCCTCGAGTCGTCTAACTGTGGCTAGGTGCTTCTCCTTAGCCGTCATTGGTGGAGGGTTAGGGGGGGTGGAACCCACCGCTTGAAGCACTCACGGGGATTTCTCCCTCTAAACCAATCGTCAAAAAGGAGGTACGTAGGATCAAACTTGTCTGCACCGTCGATCCACTGAAAAAAAACACTGTCATGGTCCTACAAAACAAAAATTCAACAAAATATTAGTAATCTAGTAATACAAATGAAGAAGAAAAAGATAGTAGAAACAATTACTTACATTAAAACAACTGCACGTGTAGAAGCAACGAGCCGCTGTGTCGGGATGTCTCGATTGAAACACGTCGGCCGGACGACCACAATCACAATTAGGGACAGGGAGTTCAGGAGGGACGGGGGCATCTTTGCTAGACTCGTCTGGGTACATTCGTCTAGGACGACCCCGTTTTCGCCATAACTGCTCTCGAAACATGTCTTCCATCTAATAAAACGGTTCAAATTAAACATCAATCAAAACAACGCAAATTAATGAAAAATGTAATCATTTGCAATGGAACTAAAATATTATAAACAACAATTATACCAACAAAAAAAATACATGGCAAACGTACTTCCAACTAAATAATTAACCTTAACATTCACAAACTCAAACTTATATTTTCACCATAGTTTCCAAACATAATTTTTCTGCTAACCTTAACTCCATTCATAATATCATATCTACCATTCAAACGAAAATAAAATGTGCGTAAGAACCTTAAATGAGAACGAGGAGGGATGGAGGCGGCCAGAGAATGAAAGGGAGGGGAGGGAGGCGGCAATGGAGGGCCGACGGTTGGAAATTTGCCGCCGTTAAATGGCCTTGGCGGCGGCGGCGTGGTTGGCGACAGGTGGCCATGGTGGTGACGGACGGGCGCGGGATGACGACGCTTACGCTGCCTTGCTGCTCGGGCAATGGATCATGGCGGCGGTGGTTATATCCGGCTCTCGCGCCAAGATCGGTGGTGTGGCGAGCCAGCCATCATCACGTCGTGATCATGGTGATGGTCGTTGCCACGTCGAGCTCTGCCATTTGCATGCCATGCAGCGGCAGCAGCACAGGCATTGGGCGCGCGCAGAGCAATAGACGCGGCCAAAAGTGTTAGTTTTAAAAAAAATAAACAGTGTTATATTTAAAATTATATTAAAAAGGGTTAAAATTAAAAAAAAATCCCCGTTTGCCACCCTGAGGGCGGTGGCCGCTGCTTCCCGATTTCAAAAAATAGCTCGCTCGCTGTGCCTGTCCCAGCCCTGGACGCCTCCGCCAGACTGCGACGCCGCCGCGAATCGCCTCACGCAGGAAGCTCACGGTGGCAGCAGTGATGGAATCCCATCACGGCGGCGGCGGGAAGGCGCGGGACATGTTCTCGGTGTACCAGAACCCGTCCCTCACCCGGGCCCTAGACTCCCGCAGCGCCCGCCCCTCCGTCACAGTCCTCCTCGTCCTCGCGGTCTTACCCGTTGCTTCCGCCTCCTCCCTCCTCGCCCTCTCCTCCCGGTAAGCCCAAGCAGCATTAATACCCACCCATTCTCATATCTGCACCTAAACCCTAAACCCAATGTCATAACCATGCGTGTGTTCTCTTCTTGTGCCTTGTTGCTTTTCCAGGGTGGAGCAGCTCACCAAGCTCGCCGCCCGAGCCGGTATCTCTGCCCTTGCTGCTGGTAAGTTCGCCTATCTCTCTGCTGGTTTGGCGTTTGGGGAATCCCAAGCTTGGTGTGGTGGCACTGTGCTTTGCCCCGTTGCGCGTGAGGTGTTTGTGAAAATGCCAGGCACGCCTATCTTGGTTGCATTGCACATCAAGTGTTTGCAGAAACGCCATAGTTTGTCACACATCAATTTGTATACGAATCCCTATTTTTAGACTCATTTAATAGGTCTGGATATTTACAAATGATGAAGTGTGAACGTTGAACTTTTGTTGTGCACTTGTGCTAGAGGTGCATCAGCCAACATTAACCTGTTTTGGTCTTTCAGTTTTTGTCTTTAGGTTGGTGGAGGCAGCACTGGGTCTTGTTGCGCTTTTCACACTGTTGGGGTTCTTCAGGGCACTGATGTTATACAATGGGAAGAAGGCACTGGCCAAGGACGACAAGGTTGTGTTGTCTGAACGCCAACTGGGGCTTCTTGGGTTAAAGATGTCGGGTTCAGAAGGAGGTGGGAAAGGTGAGCAAACCAAAAGGCCTCCCAAGAACAAGCCATCAACACCATTGGAGCCAATTGTGCCTATTAGGAGGTCTTCTTTCAGCTATACACCATCTCGGCCTTCGGGGCAATCTAGGATTGGTTCCAGCCATTTGAGCCCTGGTGGTGAGAGACTGACCACGGCATTGCCAATGTCACCCTCCACACCGTTGCAGAAGCATGTCTCTTCTCCTTCAACTCCATGGTCAAGGAAAAGCTCAGGCAGTGCCAAGGGCATACAGACAGAGGCAATGCTGGACCAGTTCTTGGCTGGCTTGGATGTAAATATTGACAAAATCACGGATCCAGAGACTAAGACCACAACACCTCCAGCAACCATTACAAGCTTTGGTGTTGCTACCCCTGTTTCAATTACCACATCAACCACCCCTTCTGGTGCTGCAAGGAGCACACCTCTGAGACCTGTGAGGATGTCTCCTGGCTCCCATCAGAAATACAGCACGCCACCAAAAAAGGGTGAGGGTGAACTTCCATCTCCAATGTCCTTAGAGCAAGCAGTGGAGGCCTTTGACAACTTGGGTGTATATCCTGAGATTGAGCAGTGGAGAGATAGTCTCAGGCAATGGTTTTCTTCAGTTGTGATGAACCCACTTGTCCAAAAAATCAAAACAAGCCATACTCAGGTGCAGATTTCTAGGATTCTTTTTACATGAACCTATATCTCTATGCATTTTTTATTGGTTATCTTTCTTTTTAATACTCCTTTCATGTGCACTCTAGGTTAAGCAAACAACAGCTACTGTTGGGGCTTCAGTTACTGTTAGCCAAGTTGGAAGCGATCTGCCAAGCACAACACCACCAGTTTCCTTGTCTCCTCTTGGTGGGACTAAAGATTGGCAACCGACTGTCACGGTAGATGAGGATGGGATCCTTAACCAATTACGCTCTGCACTCCTACATTCTCGAGATGCCCCTGTTGGTGAGTTCCTGACTTCCTGATGTGGTTTAACGGTTTTTGTGTTTTCATGTGTTCCCATCAATACACGTAACAAGGGTTTTTGTGCTGTGGTTGAAGTTGACCTACTTCTTAAAGTTTAGCTTAGATTTTCTTTAGTTGTTAGTCATTATTTTCTATGTGCAGTGCAAACTTTTGGCAGTCCACAACAGCCACAACGGAATCCCCTCCTTCCTGCTATTCAAGCATGTATTGATGCAATTACAGAGCATCAGAGGCTCAACTCTCTGATGAAGGGAGAGCTGATAAAAGGCTTATTGCCACAGAGTAGTGTCCGTGCTGATTACACTGTCCTGAGAGTTCAAGGTGAATATATGGATTTTGCCTTTTCTCAAAGTAGCCAACTGCAGAGCCTTTTGTTGAATTAGTGCTGGTATAACTTGTGTGCTTCTATCTCAATGCAGAACTTGCTGAAGGAACATGCTTGAAGAATTATGATTACATGGGTCATGGAAATGGCTATGGTAAATCAGAAAAGAAATGGACCACTGAGCTACCTACTGACTCACACCTTCTTCTGTACCTGTTTGCTGCTTTCCTTGAACATCCGAAATGGATGCTTCATGTTGACCCTACCTCGTACTCTGGTGCCCAGTCCAGCAAAAATCCCTTATTTCTGGGAGTTCTTCCACCAAAAGAGAGGTTTCCAGAAAAGTATGTTGCTCTGATATCAGGTGTTCCGGCAGTTATCCACCCAGGGGCCCTTATACTGGCTGTGAGCAAGCAGAATCCTCCAATTTTTGCTCTATACTGGGACAAGAAGCAGCAATTTTCTCTTCAGGTGATTTTTTATGTGCAATTGTTCTTCTATCATGGTTGTACTATTCCTTTTCCTCCCTTCAGAGTCATTCATTTCAGCATGGATTGCTGTTGAGGAAATGCTATTTTGTTTTAATAAGATACACGATCTAGGAATTTAAGGAAAGACTAGAAAACCTTGGGCGCGCTGCGCCGCCTTGGGCTAGCCCAGTTGAGAATTTTTGAGTAGTATTGGCAATACAACATACCTTCAAACATGTTCCCTGCACATGCTATTATAACATGGTTAGATTGGCCACCAATCTCATGAACTTTTTTGTCCATTGAATTGAATTTTGGAGCTCTTAGTTCCCATAACGATAACTCAGCCTTATTGACACTTCACAATATGGACTATGGTGTACATGTTAAATTAATGTGTTACTCGTAAACTATTAGGCAGCCATGAAATGAAGTCCATCTTCACAATTTGTTTGATGCAATAGTAGAATCACACTCAATCGCTAGATACAAATATTCTATTCTTGACCAATGCATATGGTAATGAAAGTTGCACTTGGTGAATGTATAATTGCATATGACTAATGTATATGTTTGCTGTTGGTCATGAAGTTGCAATTGATGGAACCCTGATTTGTAGTTATGGTACAGTAGCTTGTCAATATAGTAATCTTCATGTTCTTCTATTTCTGCATGTAGTAATCATCTTCTATTTCTCAACAACAACGAAGGTTTTGTGGCTTTGGTTCAGACCTTCGTAAAGAAATATTTCAGCTAGATCAAACTCAATCGCTAGAAGAGCCCTGTGAAACAAAAGATGAGTTAACAATTATACAAAGGAATAAGGAAAAGTGTGGCAAGGACATGTAAAGTCTTTATTTCTAGAACCCATAAAAATCAGAACATGTAGTCATATGTTGACTATTGCGAGTGAGTAACATAAAAATCTGAACATGAGTGGCCTTCCATGGATAGATTTGAACAGACACATTGGACTGTAAATCCTTTGCAGATGAGATAAAATTGTCCATGGGAGAATGGAGTCAGGCGAAGACATTAACTCAATTTAAAGTAAACCTTCTCTATTCTCATATAGGGCCATAGGGGACCGATCTGCACTAGAACATTACCAAAGTGGCCCAGGAAATCGTCGCTGCAATTCCCTGTCTGTTAGCTTGTTCTTGCTACTGCACTGTCCTTGTTGGTCATTCAAGCTGCTCTGCACCCTGGGCTGCTTCGGGCTGTTGCCAGGCCTGGAAGTGATATCAGATATGGATGTACCTCGACAGAAAGTAGCAGGAAACAATGTAAACTACATGCATGCCCAATACCTGTTGTTAAAAGTAGTAGTTCAACCTTGAGCTGCAATTCAGAGAAGATGAATATGTAATTTCTGCATTTTCATATTCGCAATCTAAGACAATGAGCACATGAATTATTAGAAAAGCAAAAGTGAACTAATAGTACATTAACACCTGTTCCTTGTTTGAAACAAATTCTTTTGACTCAAACATACAGAGAACACACCTTGTCACAGAACCGACCAATTTATAAGAGCATAAGTACAAAAACAATCGCCGAAACGATCAAATTCTCGAACTTGAGCCCATATAAACCCGGTAGTCAACTGAAATCTCGAAGGATTTCAAACCAACTTGCATACAACCAAGATCACAGTAATTCAACATAACATATCGTACGTTACAACATTTCGCAGACATTCGCAAATAGATTACATCATCACAGAGTCATCGTTATTACAAAGCCAGTCTTGTAAAACATGCGGAAGCAAATAGTTTAACTTACACACCCGAGTTCAAATACACATACTGGTTCGCTGATCACAGCCCGCAAAAGCATTCAGATAAGAGAACAGAGATCATGCCCATGATCTAGTCTTCATCACCCGCCGGGTGGAGACAATACTTACAGAATCCACGATATAGAAGGTCATACGCAACAAGAGGAATAAACCACGAATACGGGAATGTACTCACTAGACTTACCCGTCGGAAACCAAAATAAATGACACCAAGGATTATGCATAGCTTAATGCGGTGGATCCGGCCGACACTTTCTTTTTGCGAGAAAACATAAGTAATAATGATCAACTCTTAGCCCGACTAGCGGTGACTTTTTAGCCATTAACTTTGTCATCTATATTAGCACCTATACTAAGCAATCATTTTATTAGGGTGCAAACATTAATAACCATATCGTATTCATTGTGGCAACCTTATCATAATCATCCATTTAACCATATCGTTAAATTAATTGAATCTACGTTGTCATTTGCTTTCGGTCAAGTTCTCACTATCCGGGAGAGACGGCGATTGAATCGATTCCTATCCGGTGGAGGGTATTCCTAAACACAAACCCCGCTTCCCCGTCGTGGTCGCAAACAAGTCACCTTTGGTACGATTCGAGAGTCGCGAGTCCGAACAGATCGACATTCTCAGAGAACCACTCTGCCAAGGTTGTTCGGGACTCTAACCCACCTTGGATTTATGACAATGGCTCTCCGCACATTCTTACTACCTCCAGAATGCACGCCACTGCTCGCGTCCCCGGCCTGAGTCGAGCTACTAGGCTTCGCGGTTCACGGTCGGAACGACTTATCCGCCGACTAAGTGTTAGTCTGCGTTCAACTTGACATGAGGACGTCTGGTATGATCGGTCCTTAAAGCGACTCGACGGAGTCACTATGTTCAAACCTACACAAGACCCCGCCCGGTCTTAATTCATTATTCACATGGTTCTTTTCCACGATAGCAAATATAGCCAACCGTGATCCACCTCATCCTAAAGCTCGCGGTGACAGAAATCACACGACTTCTACCGCACTAAGCATGGCTAAGCATTTAACCTGTTCACGAACTTAAATAGGATTCCAGTGCGATATCTGGACAAGGAAGGATATATATAATGTAGCAATTGGTTCCAACCAATTTCTATACTTAATGCATCATCAACAATAAAAGGTACTCAATGTATTTGTGAAAGCATGGGAGGCTTAATATGCTCGGGGCTTGCCTTTCAGAACGAGGAAGGTCGGTGGTGGTGGCACTCGGGCAATTCCTCATGGCGATCGCTTGCCGTCGGCTCTCGCACCTCGGGTTCCTCCTCTGGTTGGCTCCCTCGAACTCCAAGAACGTCACTCCTCCGGCACACCTATTGCATGAATGCATAAGATAAATATCATGGATGCACATGAATGAATGTCGAGGGATGCTCGGGGAATGCGATGTTCATTTGTAGTTTGCATATTCCAACTTAAGCCATATTCAAATCACTTTACTTACCAAGTTTATACAACCTAATGTATAATTTCTCATCTTGATTAATGACCTAGCTTTTTGCACCTAAGCATATTCTCAAGTTAGGCTAACCCCTAAACAATCAACGAGAACATTGCATCAAGGATACACTCAAGCATTTGTATTTCAGCAAAATGAAGACTATGTAGCGGTACAGTAAACTAGCCATAACTGGAGATTTATAAATCCAATTGACATGCAACAATACAATTTGGAAAGCTTATAAAATTGTCTACAATTCATTTTTAGACCTCAAAGCATGATTCAACACTTTACCAGGTCGAATTCTTTGATCAACAGAACTCTGTCCTCCCAAGACAGAGAGTAAGCAAAACTGGAACCTAACTTTAAATAGCTGTAGTTTCTAAACTACTGGGCCAAATGCCCTCAAATTTTGACAGGAGCTAGATACATAAATTATCTACAACTCTTGTGTTCATCACATTCACAGAAAACCAAAATATCATGGGGAACTTCCTAAAGTACCCAGATCTGTCCAGAGGGACATGATGCAAACGAAATAATTATTAACTTATGATGTAAACAAATAATTGGACAAAACTAACTCTACTCACATATCACTTATATCACAAGAACACCAGAAAGTAGGGTGTTCATCCCCAAAACATTTCTTTTAATACCTTTCTTAATTTATTTAATTAATTAGAGAAAATAGTAAACATATATGAAAACTACACCATTAAATCTACAAAAATTACAGTAGACACTAGATGCCCTAAGTAGACTACTATAAAAATTTTACACCATTTGAGTAAGTATAACAACCTACACAAAAATGGTAAGGCAGAATGGATTAAAATGGCATAATTAAGAAACCTTAGTGAAAAGTGTCAAGCAACAGATTTCATATTTTTTCTAGCATCCTTAAGGTACTAAGATACTACCTACCAAGTTTCATGGCCATAGGATTCCTAGATAATTTACAAAAATTCACACAAGTATCCACCAATGATAAAAGAAAAATCTATAACTCAAACACTACACATGCAATGACTCTCAAATTTTAACCAGAGCTTCTACTAAGCAATACTAGCTTACCCACAAAATTTCACAATTTTTGGATCACAGAAACTCAAGATATGATTTAAACAAGTTTGCATGCATTTAAAAGCACATTTCAAGTTCCTATTTAATTCATCCAAAATTTCTACATAATGTGCTCAAGACATATTTTTCTTAAATACTAGACCTCACTGAGAGTCTAACAAAATTTGAATGACAGTATTTGGATCTACACAAATGGAGTTACAAAATTCACAAACAAACATAGAAATCAGAATTTGAACTATCCCTACAAGTAATCATCATCGACGCTGCGGGGACCGCTGTCGGTCGGACCCACTTGTCATCGACACACAGATCAGGGAGGCGCTTCATGACGGCCAGCGGTAATGTGTGAAGCTTCGCACGACGGCGACTTCACCCGGCGACGAGGAGGGTACCTCGTGACTACCTCAACCTCCCGCATCGATTGACCTACTCAACCTAAGCTCTATCGACCTCTAGGTGCGCCCAGCCATGGCGCATGCGCACAGCTCGGCCGGCCATGGGCGCGGCGGCGCTTCCCGCGAACTCCGGCGCTAGGTGTGCGGACAAGGTGCGCGATCGACTTCCAATGACCAAAGCGGACACGCTTACGCCATCGCATCGGGTGCGGTGAAGTTTGTCAAGCGTGTCCGCGTGAGATCACCGGCGGCGACCATGGCGGCCATGGCGCGGTGGGCGCGTGATTCGCAATGCCGCTCACCTAAAGCTTGGATGGCTCAACGAGGATGTCGATGAGGTCCGTGAGGCGATAGCAGAGCTATGGTTGGG